GTGAGTCAGATCTGACTCCATGGCAGTGTTTGGTTTTGGTTGGTTTGGTATGTTTAATTTTGATACTTTATTTTAAAATGAATAATTTAAAAATAAATCTTTTCCAGAAAGCTGAGTATGAAAATTTTAGTTTTGTCTCCATTCATTTAGTTAAGTATTTACTAAATTGCTCCTAGGCTCCACATTTGTCTAACTTATAAACTATATTGTTATCTCATGCCTGCAATTGAGTTCAGAAGTATATGGAAAAAGACTTTGTGAAAATTAATCTAATTCATTCACCTTAAAAAATATGTATGTGCCAATTAGGTGCAAAACATGGTGGTAGGCCCTAGCTTAATTAACTGTCAGAACATGTATTAGTCAGGATAAGATAGCTTATGCTACAGAGATAAATAAACCCCAAAATGTCAACAGCTTAACACCACAAAGATGTTCATTTATGTTAAATTTGAGATAAATCAAGTGAATCTTCAGGGATACTCTTGGGTCCCTTTGATCTTGTAATATCATCATCTCAGTCTTTGCCTTCCAAGATCTTCATTCTCCATCATAGACCATATATTAGGCCATAAAGCAAGCCTTAATAAATTTAAAAACATTGAAATACTGTAAAGCATCTTCTCAGATCATAATGCTACAAACTCAGAAATCAATAATAGGAAGATCAATGGAAAAAGAGCAAACACATGGAAACTGAACAATACCCTCCTTAAGAATACTGGGTACTTGTTGTTGTTGTTATATGCCGTCGAGTTGGACCCGACTTATAGCGACCCCTCCTTGGGTTTCTGAGGTGGTATCCCTATGAAAGTAGATTGCCCCTACTGGGTAATAGAAGAATGAAAAATGAAATTAAAATATTCCTTGAATCAAACGAGAATGAAAACACAACATACCAAATTTTTTGAACACAGAAAAAGCACTGATCAGAGGCCAATTTATAGCAATAAATGCCCACACCAAAAAAGAAGAGCCAAAATAACACCTTAAACCAACATCTCCAACAATTAGAAAAAGAACAGCAAGAAAAGCCTACAGTCACCAGAAGAAAGGAAATAATCAAGATTAAAGCAGAAATGAATGAAATAGGAAATAGACAATAGAAAAAAATCAACAAGTCTAGAAGTTGGTTTTTTGAAAACATTAATAAAATTGGCAAACCACAGGCAATTTTAACAAAGGAAAAGAGGGAAATAATACAAATAACATGAATGAGAAACAAAATGGGTGACATCACAACAGACCCAACTGAAATAAAAAGGATAAGATCAGAATACTATGAAGAACTGTACTCCAACAAGTTTGAAAATTTGGAAGAAATAGACAGATTTCTAGAAACACACCACTTACCTAAACTAACACAGACTGAGGTGGAAAAGTTGAACAGATCTATAACAAAAGAAGAAATTTAACAGGTCACACAAAAAAAAATTACCAACAAAAAAAAAGTCAGGCCCAGAGAGTTTCACTGGAGAATTCTACCAAACATTCAGAGAACTGACACCAATCCTACTCAAACATAGAAATTCCAAAACATAGAAAAGGATGGAATCCTCCCAAATTCATTTTATGAAGCAAACATTACCTTGATACGGAAACCAGGCAAAGACATCATTCCAAAGGAAAACTACAGACCAATATCCTTCATGAATA